ACAAACGGTGCCGACAATTTTGAATATGTGTTATGGTGAGATCAGAGGAATCATCGATAAAACAATTGTATTGAGGGATATTGGAGAAAGCCAGCACAGCAATCCAAGAATGCGATGTGTTGGGGTTGGGGAATGTCGAACACCGAAGGGAGATTAGTTGTCAAGCAGTGCATCGATGCAGAATTATATTGATGGTGTAGCAGCGATATGATTTGGGCATTATGCATTGTCAGTATGTGAATGTGATGTGTGAATACGGAGAGGCGGGCGGAATATATCAGTACTACGCAGAAATAAGATAGCTTCGTTGCGTAGTGGAAGGTAGACTACTATTTGCAAATGAAACGGGTTCAACGAAACTCACCGTAAGATAGTTAGAAACTTGGCACGCCGCGTACGATAGAATGGTACAGCTTTACGCAGTCGCAGTGAAAGGTGAAGTCAGGTGAAGTCTTCGCAGAATAGGGTTGTGATGGTTAAAGTTGAAGGTGTTCCTGCAGGTTCCTGCGTAAGAACAGATCAATTTCGTTAATCTCCTGAAATGGAAGAACTCGGCCAGAGCTTTCGGCCCGCCCTTCAAATTTCAAAGAGTTTTCAACTTCACTATTCAAGCGTTCAAGTTAATCTTCGCGACAAGTGGAAGACGAAGCGATGTACTTTTATCGATAGTAAGTACAACAAACTTTTCAGTCACTTCGATCGATGGCGATGTATCGTGCCATCCAATCGGACCGCAGGTTCACCGTCCTTCGAGAACTTCACCTCCTTTCACCCATCCTTTCTAGATCGATCCCTATCGTGGTACAACGTTCGACGCTTATTGAGAATACAATACCCGAGTTGGTGAGCGGTCCTGGTCAGCGACCCGCCCTATAGCCACGGCAAATCAGGTTTGCTCGCTCCTAGTTCGTGATCGTACGCTGATATTTGTAGCAGGCTGTAGAATCCGAAAAGATTGTAGTCTTATCAGAGCAGCTGACAGTATATTGGCATCGTCTCGCTCGCAATCTCGTTTCCAGAAAGTTTGCGCCATGTTTCTAGAATTAGTTTGATGAATTCAGGTCTGATTCGGTGCAACGGCTATCTACGCTTATCTATCCTTTCGCTCTTCAATCTTCACCTGTGAAGGGAAATCTCCTGAGATCTCATGCTACGGTGTGCAGAATGCAGCCTATGGAGTGAGTAATGTCTTCTCCTGTGGAACAGTGAAACTCACCGAAAAATCCTTCTTGTACAATAGGCAAGGAACTCTCCTTGATTTCATCTAAGCCTCAAGGTGTACACGTTCATCCGTCAAGAAGTGTGTACTTAGTTCGAAATGCGGCGTCTGGAATGATGGTAAGTAGTATTCACGGTCATAAGGCCAACTCAACTTCTGTGGTGTTCGCTTCATGGTAGGGTATAGTGACAGACAGTATGGGCTACGTACCTCCGGTCTTTGGCTATCTTTGGTCAATAATATCGATCTGAAAACATATATAAAGACATCGTCTGAACGTTGCATTGTTAATCTTCCCTACCCCCCTGATTAACTGAACATGTCCAATACACAATCGATCGCGCCTGTCCCGATTGACCAGATCGTGAAGGCCACAAACATCCTTCAAAAAAGTTCTGCCCCAAAATTCGGACACGAACTTCTTCCGTATTTTAGTTTCAAGCAGGGGTTTCTCAATCTTAACAATGGTATGGTCGTTTCGAGCTACTTTCCAAAAGCGAATCACCATCGTTTATGCTTTCTTCCGCAGGATCATATGGCGCTCTGCCCAAAGTTGTGACCGAAGCTTGCAATGAGCTGATGGCATGGCAGGAGGAGAACACTGATTTTTACTATCGGATCGGTTTTATTCCACCTTTAATCGGTGTACGCGAACAGCTTGCCCAACTTGTGGGTGCATCGGACGTCGACGAGCTTGTCATGGTCCCCAACGCGTCCACTGGCCTTGGTGTCGTTCTTAGAAACTTTCTATGGCAATGTGGTGATACTATCATTCGCTGTAAGTATTACTATCCACCTATTTCGCTAATCATGGCTGGCCCACTTAAGTTTCCCCCTATGTGTAGGCAACACAACTTATGCCACCGTCTATAAGACCATCCAATATATCCACGACGTCACTCCAGGCCTTGAAATTTCAGAGTTCCAGCTTCTTTTCCCCACCACTCGCCAAGCCATTCTTGACGGTTGGCAGAAACATATCACCAGTGTGAAGGCAAACGCTCCCCAGGGTCAGAAAATTGTCGCTGTCATTGATTCAGTGGTTGCCAACCCCGCAGCGGCTATGCCGTGGAAGGAGATGGTGAAGATTTGCAAGGACGTCGGAATTTGGACCATCATAGATGGTACGTCCTGCTTTGATTTGAACTTTCTTGCTCATCAACATTCTTGAACTTCAGGTGCACATTCTGTCGGCCAGGAAGACCTTCATTTGGCTGATTGTGGTGCCGACTTTTTCGTCAGCGTGAGTTCTCTACTATGTCGATTCTGAAACTGGTCCTTGTATTCATCATGCTCGTACAGAATTGTCATAAATGGCTCAATACAAAGCGGGGCGCAGCCTTCCTTTGGATGCCCAAAGAGTCTGCTGGCTCATTTCGCCTCTCCGAATACCGTTTCTGATGTGTGGATGGTTATAGATCGCAAAAAATCATGTTAACTACTATTCCCACCTCAGCTTCGTATGTTACACCGGGTCCTGACAGGCCTGAGACTAACATTGTCTCACAGTTTCAATGTATGTTTTCTTTGTTCCTCCCCTGTCCAGCTATAACACTATGTCCTTCTCCTCAGACAATGGGACGATTGATTATACGACGTATCTATCCGTTCATGTTGCTTTGCAATGGCGCGAATGGGTCGGCGGAGAAGCCGCTATCCATCAATATTGCAACAACCTAGCTAAACAGGGTGGTGCTCTCCTTGCCCAAACAATGAATACGAAGGTCATGGATCCTAATGGCGAATTCACCATGGCCATGGTGAGTTATTGTTCGAGGTCTTGGCAGAAACGGAACTAAGGAGCCCTTGACTACACAGGTGAACGTCACTCTTCCTTTCCCTTCAGACTTCCAGGCGCAATACGATGCTTCAGTTGGCACGGCACTCAGTAACAAGCTCCTGGCGCGAAACATGTACGCCGTGACTTACTATCACAACAGTTTATGGTGGACCAGAGTCAGTGCACAAATCTGGAATGAAGTAGGTTGGTTCACCTTCTATCCATACATCAACTAAGCATTCATCAGCTCAGTGATTTCTCAATCCTGGGAAATGCTCTTGTGACCATTTGTAGCGAGATCGTTTCCGAACACAAGAACGCGAACGTTCCTCAGAACTGCAAGGCGGTTTCTTTCAGCTCGTACTTGGAGCAACCACTCCAAGGTGCTGTGGCTCTCGATTCAAACAATGGGATTGGGGCTCCTAGGCCGGTCACAAGTACGAAGGTTACGCTAGTTGGCTATCATACGCAGCTTGCTTCCATTAGGCCTTGAGTTGAAACGGATGTTAATGCAATACATTGGAGAATCTTTGTAATAGTATCTCAGTCTGTACCTGTCTGTACTCAGAATTCACGTTTTTGCGTCACGCTTTGACTGAGCTGCAATTCCTACAATATGATTGGCTGAGAAGTCACAGTTGGAATGAAATCGGAGCGTTCTGATTGGATGGCCGACATTAATCAAGTTATGCGGTTTTGAAGCCGTCTCGATCGTGACATCGGCACATTTTCATTCATAAATCTTCTCCACTTTTACCAACTCTTACTTAACTTATACCCTCTTACACTGATATCCACCCAGCTCCCATTACGCTTCAATGTCGGAACCTTCAACGGCTGCTGTTGCTGTCGCACTTCCTCGCCGCATGGACGATGGTCTGAAAGCTACTAAACCCCCCGTCTGGCCGATCACAAACTCTATAACAACAGATTCGACCCCGCTCAGCTCAAAATGCGATAGAGTCTCGCGAGCAGACGGTGTTTGTTGTAAGGAGCTGAAGCAAGAGGAACGAACCCTTATTGATCCTGATGTTGTCCGCGATGTGTAAGTGACCTTAGTGACCATTTCGCGTCATGGAATGAAGATCCTTCGATAGCATCATAGGACTTTCTGATGGCCTAACAGTCCCTTTCGCTCTTACCGCTGGTCTTTCGTCTCTTGGCACATCGAAACTGGTAGTTCTTGGTGGCGTGGCAGAGCTAATCGCTGGCGCAATTTCTATGGGCATCGGAGGATTTCTCGCCTCTCAAGCCGAACGAGATCACTTTCGGTTCCTTAAGAAACAGACATCCGCTCGAGTCTCTGTCAGCTGCTCTGGGGAAATGGAGAGAGAGGTCGAAGAAATTCTTGGGCCTCTTGGTGTTGACCAAAATGCTTGCCGCATTGTTGCCGAAAGTTTACGCAAGGCAGGCAACGAGAGTATCGCGGATTCTACTCCAGCAGAAGACCTCAGGTTACGATGGAGTAAAGATGTTGGACTAACGGCCTTCTTACTTAAGTTTGGGGAGGGAATGGGTGAGTATATGTGTCGTTTGTCGTGAGCTCAGCTGATCGAGTTCTGCAGAGGAAGTCCCAACGAAACGACTTTATATCTCAGCGTTTACAATTGGAATGGGATACCTCATTGGTGGTCTCATCCCCCTTCTTCCATACTTTTTCATTGACAGGGCACAAGTGGCTTTAATCTATTCATGTATCGTCACTGGTGTGGTGCTTCTCGTTTTCGGTGCTATTAAAGCGCAAGTGACTGGTGCCAGCGGAGGTATGGGTGGTATCATATGGGGTGCTTGTACCACACTCCTCGTAGGTGGTGTAGCTGCTGGTGCAGCATTTGCTATTGTACGAGCATTGGAGACAGATTAACTATCTGATGTCTTGGTTGTATCATATCTATTCTATGAACATTTTTAATTACTGCATGCCTGTATTATGTTGTACCGTTAATCTGTGTATATAGTCACGGTTGTAATAGTGGTGTCAACGTTTTCAGACACTGCATAGGCGCTATAGCCAAGTGGTTACGGCGACAGATTCGAATACTCGGCTATCTGTTCCTCTTTGAGGGCGCAGGTTCAAATCCTGCTGGCGTCGGTCCAATTTTTGAATTGTGCGAATATGTAGAATTTCTTTTTTCAATTCCCAATAGATAAATAAATGTTTACAATTTTGAGTACCATGCATACGGTCCCATAGTGTAATTACCAAATCAAAATGCGAAGACACGGTAACTTCCTGCTCCCTCCGACTAGAAAATGGTCAGCTGTTACACATAAATGATAACGCTCGCATCCTACGCACAGAGTCCACAACGATGATCGAATCCTCACTACACATTGCAGAACATGTCGGTTGTAAAGAGGGCATCATCTTTGCTATCCAACGATATGGTAGAGTGGTCCTAGTTTCTTGAAGGAAGATATCCCCTGCTGTGAATATACTGGGAGCAGTGATACAAAGACTGGAGTCGCATTCCAAGGAAACCATATTCAGAACGTCTACGTCGCTGACTTTTTGACCCTGTGATATCGCGTTTCTGAAAGCTTTTTGGTTGAAATCAAACACTTGCAAAGTGTAAGTATGATTCGACCGATCGCTGCATTCTGGAAACACAAATCTAGTCCCGTAGACATTGCATGCCCATATCTCGAAAGATGGGTTTCGGGTGTAGATTTCCGTCATTCGAGAACCTTGGGGACCCCAAGCCTCCCAAACCAACATCGACTCTTTCGCGGAAATTGGCCCCGACAGATCCGTGTGACGAAGCAGAGTGTGTAGAGGGATAAGAAGGGCCAGGTGACGGAGAGTATCCCTATGCACCCAAATAGAGGCGACAAAGACCCTCGCATCTTGCGCTATATGAAATGGAACATTGAGGTCAGATTGAGGAGCCCAAGAAGACGGAGGGTCTGATCTGAGGGTGAAGCTGCGGATTTCGACAGATTGATGAAATATCGGGAGAGACAATTTGAAGCCATGGGCAATATTGAGGTATGATTGTCTATGAGGATCCTCTTGCTCAAAATCAACAATAAGCAGTTGAGCATGATCCCTCCCGTCCGGAAGATTGGTGAGGAGAGATAGGAGAACATATCTTTCTGATAATAGGCAAAAAGATCCAAGTTCGTTGCCTACGACGTGCTGGAAAGGGCTATTAGAAATGCTTGAATTGTACTGCATAATGTTTAACCAAGCAAACCAATTTTGTTTGACCTGTTTTCCAATCCCAGATGACAAACTCGTTCGCTGAAAGGTCCGATGCAGCATGGAAAAATATCGCGAGGCATTCCAATGATATTTGGATAGAATAGGACGTATCCGGGTCGAAAAAATGACGAAGGTGCTTGATACATCCTGATCCTGTGGCCAAAGGGTGTTTTGTTGCCGTTGACATTGATCGTAGGTATATACAATGGTGCCGATCCACTCTCCCTGCCGACCTAGACACCAAATGAGCGACTATCCAGACTTATATTTTCCCCTTGCTTTACCGTCGAGGCGTCTCAATCAACACAAGCAGATCCTGACTGGGATCCATTCCAAAGTCGCGGACAAACCGTGGTGTTGTAGGCTTGACCTTCCATTCTCGTTCGGGAATATTCCGATGTACGGAAGGTAACTGTACGAAGACGAAGCTTCCATCGGTATTATTTTGCGCTAGAACGTTCCCAAAAAGTTCCCAAAGCCCAGCGTATTTCATTGGATAACGTGTTTGTGAATTCCATTCCAGCTTGTCCCACCGCGCCTGTTGTTTCCTGAGTAGTTCCAATTTCTCCATCGCAGATAAGCTACAGATCAACCCATCTTCTCGTTCAGCGACTACTAATTCGATATCATAGATAAGGCGAGCCGTCTCAGTGATTATATCACGAAATATTTTGCAAACCTTACTCGAATGATTCAGCCTTGAAACGTATATTTGCGAAAATGAAAGGGCTTACTGATTTACATTTCGTCAAGCTGAGTGCATCTAGTTCTCCCAACACTCTGACAATGAGCTCGGTAGGAAGTGCATTCAACAAAGAGGAGCTTTGTGTCATGTTCGACATGAGGGCAAGTGCTCAGAACTCAAACTGCGGGAAACTACGGGCCGGCTTGAACAACGCCATCGTTGATAAATTTACGTGAAAACAAAGTTGTAAAGTGTATGTAAGAGGGATAGATATAGCAGGATGGTAGATAGTCATAAACATTATTACATCCAAAATCAAGATATGATTGGTGCTCCGAGTTCGTATAGCATGTACAACATATAGGAATTCCGGTAAAGAAATGGGAAGCAGTGTCACGGTCAAGCATTATACGGCCACAACAGTTTCGTTGTGCTTAAACAAGGTCATGATTAACGACACGCTTTCTCTGAGAGAGATACGACGGTTCCTGCGATCCATACCAGTCGAAGCGACAGTCCTAGGAATGTCTGAAGTCGGACGTTCGTTTGCTTCGTCTCCGACTACGATTCAATGTGGTCTTCAACAGCATTTACAAATTAACTGTTCTGTACTCACCATAAAGCACTGGAGCGTTCATTTTGTTGTCAAAGTAGAATGTCAGGTTCCCAGAGGTCATGAACTGACCGCCTAATGTCGAAGCTTCACCTAAACGCGCCACAAGACATTCAGTGCGAACGCCCTGAATTCGGAGAGTGACTTCCGCTCCCGCTGTGAAGGCAGGAACATTGGGCAATTATCACAAAAAGATACGAATACAGAACATACGATTAAAATTCCCGTGATATTTCAAAGCGCGTAGCGCATCTTGCGACACCACGGATTTCGCGCTTCCGGTATCGAGAATGAAGTTACCCACAATAGCTGGTGTCTTATACTGTACCTTGAATTTCCCTTTTCCTTTTTGTTTCTGTCCCCAGGTACGACGACGACGATTCTTCTCGTTCTGATGATCTTCGTCGTCGTCATCATTGACTAGTTCGACGACCAATCGCCACCCCATCAGGCCAATAAGCCTCCCGGATGCGATACGCACACCGGCGCAAGGGATGGTAGAGATTTCGGTTGTAGGGATCGCGAGATCTGGACCCAAGACTTTGATTAAGTCTGTCCGGAGGTGGCGTAGTGTGGAGGAGGATGTAGTTGGGAAAGTGTGTTTGGCGTCAGAGGGTACAAAATAGCCGCGGTCCTTTTGTATTGAAGATCTCTCTTCTCGTACTGAAACAGAGCCGCGGTCGCTGGTACTGGGGGCGTATGTACTGGAAGAATCCGAATTAGGCCCGGAACTAAAGGGTACCGGCGACATGGGTGTAGATGTGTTGCTATGGTAGAAGTTTCTACTTTCAGCGCCGGTAGCGTGCTGATATTTGAGTAGGAATAGACGTTTACTTGCGGGAGGGCGAAATAATAGTCCTGTCGGCTTTTGAAAGAGCCAGTCCGTGGATACATGAATAAGTACCGCTAAAGACACATACCATTGCATATATCTCGGAATTCTCTTCTTTGAGTGAACCCGACTCCCATACCAGCTTCATACCGTCATCATACCTCCCGAGCTGTATCAAGGTAAGACCACGGTCGAGAAGGATTCTGTCGGTATGCAACTCGAATTGTAGACCGAGTTCTTGATAGTAGCTGCCCATTGACAGTTAGTAACGAGGATGAACATTGACCATGAATGATTCACATACACAACCTGATTTCCTCTCATCATGACTTCAGCATCGCCAAAGTCCTGCAACGCCTTCTCCATTGCTTTGAGCTTGTAATGGCACACTCCGCGTTGAAAATACCTAGCATGCGAGTGTCAACAAATTTCAGCTAGACTCTTTTCTTACTAGTGAGGACATACCCAACGGCAAGGAAACGATCAAGTTTAATCGCGTCTGAGAATTTGGCGATGGCATGACCAAAGTTTCCTTGGTACATGTGTATCAACCCAATATTCATTGCGACCTTGGAAGTATCCGAAATTTTCTACGGAGAACAATTTGAGGATACCGGGATTTCAGAGCTGTACAACAGCTTACCTCGAATATACTTAAAGCGCCATCCGGGTCCTCGGAATCGTACGCTTGAAGAGCTGCATCCCAAGTATCCAATTCTTGCTTGAGAACAGCCAAAGCCATTGATAGAGTTGCGCTTTAGCTTGTGAGCTGATCGCGAGGATGGGTAAGGAGCGAGAGAGAGAGATGAGATGCATCATATGAATGAATTGAGGCATCGCCTGATGATGATTGCGGGAAAGGCAGCCGAGCGGCTTTTCTCCCCCATAATTGAGCCCTATGAGTATGTTGTATGTCTGCCTGAGAGCCAAGAAGGTCGGGAAGGATGCGGGCGTTGAAAGTTGAACTTTGTTAGGCTATCCTATAAGGAATCGTTTCTGCTGCGGAGGATGGCGCAGAAATCGGAGTGCACCATCTTCACTACTTGAAAACGTGGACACTAATTTTTTGTTCGTGACCTTGCGGAGAATTCCTCAAGGTCAACCGTAGGTTGGCTTATCGTAGAGTAAGAAAGATAATGTGTGGCTATTAGACGCGCGTTCGTTCTAACTCTCGACACTCATCATACTAGTACTACATCCCACAATCTCATCTTCGAAACTCGGCCCCCGCTTTCAATGGACAAGAATCGGTTATCTAGGGCTTGGGAAAATTCGAAAGGTGTCGGTGGAGAGTCGAAAGAGCATGCAGAGGAGAAATACGCTGAATCGCAGGTTTTAGAGGATATGAAGGCTAGAGCGCAAGGTCAATGAATTGTAATTTGCTCGATTGATTGAACATGGATGTTGGATCGCATAATTTACATGAAGAACCTTCAAAAAGGACATTTATAATGCCTCTCAAATGACGTATGAATTATAAATGCTCCGTTCATTGTGCTAACAAGTGTTCCTCCTAGTATGCGTCCCAGTCATGCCCCCTTGTGACAACAATGCTCAAAATTGTGTGGAAAAATCTAACTTCCTCGGCTTGAGTCCTACGTCAAACCTATCCTTGTTCTGTGACCCAGGCTTGAGAAGGCTGCTTTTAATTGCATCTCCTAGCTCGGAGATCAGAGCGGTGGGATGCTTTCAGCTGACTCTCAAGTGTACAATAGCAACAAGCTGAAACATTTGACACTTAAAGGAATGAGGGTGAT